TTGTGCACAGTGATCAGATATCTTTACTGTCACTGTACAAGTACAACAAAATACTGTTAGAGCAGGCCTGTAGCTGCCTAACATCAGTAATAATAACCCCAAATATACAAATACTAAGATGTTTATACATTTACACATTTTTATCCGCCATGTTATTATTTTCATGATAAATTCTCATCATCTCTAGAGAATAATCAGTTCCAGCTCCTCTTTCGTGCAGCTGTGTTTTCAAACAGTGTTTTCTGTGTAACAGAACAAGAACAAGAACACGCCCAGCAGCAGCTGAAACAACACTTTGCAGTCTGACGTGGGCGTATCCTCCAAGGTGTGCTTCATGTGAAAGACGGAAACTGCAGATGAATGGTAGGAGCTATTTCTGCCGTGTGATGAGCTGTGCAGAGGTTGTTATCAACATATATCTGATTGTAACCCCCTGCTTCAGTGTGTCAGAGCTGGACTCATCACGCTGACTCCACGTGTCTGAAACCCAGAGTCTGCTGCTGCAGCCGACAGGTCAGGCCTCTGAAGGCCGACTCCCTGACTGCTGAGGATGTGCTTCACTCGCCTCCACCAGCTGCCACAACCCTCCATCACTCCCTCTGTCCCCCCCCCCCCCCGGAGCTGCCGCTGGAGCTGCCACATGCACTCTGTGTGTGCAGAGCGGCTCCTCTGACAGGGTGACTGTGGCCAAGCTGCCCCGAGTCGAGCTCAACACCCTCGGGCGTCAGTTACTCCAGCGCCACATCAGTGCAGGGGAACGCCCAATGAGACAGTGAGACAAGATCACGCCTCCCCCCTTTCCTCCCTACCTCCCCCCTGCCTCCTCTCAGCCACCAAGCATGCTTGTCTTTGCGACACGGGAACACCTTATGCATTATTAAAGACACTTTTCCTAAAAGGCTACTGGCACATTATTCTGCAGCCACGGTGACATGTCGACTCCAAGCGTCCACTTTAGCTCTGAAGAATGAGCTCATACAGGTAGAGCTGCAAAACATCAGGGCGGCTTTAAAGAGACAGCTGCATATCACTCATTCTCATATCTACGGATTTATTCAAAGACCATGGACATAGTGCTGAGACTTTAAATCTAATAAGATCTCTAGCTTATTTCAAGTGGAGAATCCTGCAGCTGAATGGATGTAATCATGTTTCAAAATGAACATTATTTTAATGCATTCAGTCGGTTTCTGAGCTCTGAACCCGGCAGCCATCATGAGCATTGATAACAGTTTTTAGCAGTTGGCACGCCCTTAAAGGGATCATTAACAGATATAATCCAGGACAAGGCCAAGGTGGTAGCATATGTGAATCCTCAGATCATAAATGTTAAAATAATCAAACTAAAACGCACGCTAAGCCATGGAGTGAGGTGTAAAAACAGTCGACACTGTGCATGCGGGGCTGAAAACATGGATCAGTTTGTGGACAGAAGAAGGAGTCCAGCAGGAACAGGCCTCTAGTGCATGACGTGTCAAAGGAAGCAGCATGACACTAATGTAATTATGCATTGCGATAAACAGTCAACGATGAGGTAATAAGCTCCACCAGGGGGCGCCTCTAGAGATGACCTGCAGGAATGATGTGAAGTTTAGGATGCATTCAAGGTCGCCTCATTTGTAAATATTAAAATATTGTATTAGAGGGAGTCTTAGAAGCTGATTCAGGAGTTTATAGAGAAAAAAATAATAATTTGAACTCAGCCCTCCTCTTGATCTGTGCAGGAGAAAATAATCAGGGACAGGCCACAGCCAAGTCACACCACAACAACAAGCAGTCTGATTAACGCTCCAACTCTCCATAAAAGTAAAAAACTTACATGTCCTGAACGCCTCCCTGTCCGTTAAGTCCGTTCAACAAGTTCCGAGCTCAGAGTGACCCTGGATGAAGAACGAAGCTCTTTAAGACGCGCTGCTGAACGGGAACGTGATGAGTGCGCACGTCGGCACCATCTCTCAGCTGTTTGTAAAAGAAAACGATCAGAGGAGGATTTTCCTGCCGCTTCTAAACAAATGAGTGATGAGCGTCCAGGGGGCTGGGTCAGCACCGCGCCTCGTGCGGGGTGCGGGGGGGTGCCAAAGTGTCCATCATCCTCTCTCCAGGTGTCACTCCATCACTCGTGATGTCCGCGGAAACAAAAGCCATGAGCTGCAGAACAAACTTTCACCTCCTCTTTATGATTCTCTCAACGCGGACCTCTCTCTCTGCTCTGATCGCTTTCAGCCACTCAGCAGGGACAACAAACTCCCCAATTAGACTCACAATATCCGCGTCTACTTCTCCTGGACGTCACCCCGCACCGCACCGCACCGCGCCGCGCCGCGCAGAACCGCAACGAGCAGCACTGACCACCCCGCCGGAGATGACGGGAGGATAACACACTCCGTGGCTCGATTAGATGAGACGCACACTCAGCACACCTATGGTTTCTCTCCCCACCCCTCCAGCCTCCAGTCTCCACCCTCACACACACACACACACACACACACACACACGCACACACACACACACACACACACACACACACACCCCGTCCTCCTCTTTCAGGAACCGTTAAAGGAGCTCAGTGAGGGAGGAGGATCGCCTCCAGTTGAACCTCTGCTTGTGGAGTTCACCGGAGGCGCCAGATCGCGATAAATTATCTGATAAATGTGGGATTTATTAGTCTCAGAGGAGGGATGAATCCGGGAAAAACAGAGGGAGGAAATTCTCTTAGCCAAGCTTTATGATCACTGAGCATCCAAACCAAAGTGTGCGCAGAACTAAAATAAAAATAAAGATACTGAAACTGGTGAAGCGTTTTATTTCTGTCCCTCACTGACAACATGTCGACACAGCAAAGTGCGTAATTATTCAAGAACTGAAAGCTCGTAGCTTCAAATCAAATTTTGAATTTTAACAGATGCATTTTTGTTCCAAAAGGGATTTATTGTAAATTAAAATGTAAATGTTTATAGCTATAAATAAAATAAAATAAAATAATAGTACCATGAAGACATGAAGGTTCCATTAAATAGATACATCAATAAATAAATTATAGGGGCCGTCTCCTATTAATCATTTTATCTACCTGATATAAAATCTAATTTTTCAGGTTGAGCTGAATTAAAACGATTTCAGTTTCATACATTTTTCATCCTCCAGTTAAACCTCCAACCAGAACAGAGCGCGCGTGATCACACCTGCGATGTCTCCTCACACCTTTATTGATTAACACAAAGAGTGAGAGGCTCTTAGCAGCAGACAGGTCACGACACCTGGCGCACAGGTGAACCTCTGCGCGGCTCAATGTGTCGATAATTACAGGCCCTGACCCCTAGCACCTCCACGCGCCGTGAGAAACCAGCCAGACATGCAGCGATTACATGAAAGAAGGAAGGAAGGAAGGAAGGAAGGAGAGAAGCAATAAAGGAAGAAAGAAAGAAAGAAAGAAAGGAAGGAAGGAGAGAAGGAATAAAGAAAGAAAGAAATGAAGGAATGTAGCGTAAAGTGTAATTTTTGCAGCAAATGTTTGTTGCTAAGCATGCTAATGTTTGCTAAGCATGACTTAGATATGAGAGATTTAGTGTCCACACAGAGCTGTAGTCTCACACACTCTGGTACAGGTGAGGTGTTAGAATAAAGCAGGTTATAGTCTCAGAAACAAAGCACACTCACGGGATCACAGCTACCCGGTTTCTTCCTCGTTATCGCACCTAACGTGTCTCCTGTTAATGAGTACAGTTCCACACATGGAGCAGGGGAAGAACTTAATGATGAAACAGCATCTGTTCTCACAATATCTGCCCCTTTTTTTGTCTGATCACGACGCACATTTTGGAGACACACAGACACAGACACAGAGACACACACACACACACACACACACACACACACACACACAAGCACACACACAGTCTCTGCGCGCGTTGCAGCAGCGAGGCTTCCAAAGTTTACGCGCCCGAGCTCCCGGTGGAAAAGATGAATGAATGAGAAAGAGCCAGAACTGCAGGAGCGTCTCACCTCTCTGGGGGTCTTCAGTGCTTCATTCCGCCGGGGACAGCCCGCCATGTCGCCTGTTGCAGCCACATTAATCCGCTTTGAAACGGGACATCTCGGCGTGGCGCAGGAAGCGGACACTCACTGAGGAAGAGACCAGTTAGCTCCGGGAAGGAAGGAGAGTTCCCGGTACAGGCGGCGTCACAAAGACACGGACACAGCAGAGAAAAGAAAATACTCCAAATGTAAAGATTTAAAAAAATCTAAATACAGATTCCAGGTGTGACCACAGAGAGCCGCATAGAGATAGAGAGAGAGAGAGAGAGAGAGAGAGAGGAGCGGACAGACTCGCTGCTCTCACACACAATGAGCCGCTCAGCCTCTGACAGCTCACTTTCACCTCAACTTTGTTTCTCTGCTGAAGCCTGAGAGTCGCAGCTCAGGGCAAACACCCCAGACTACTCCTTTATTATCTTCACTTAAATGTGACCTGATGCACATTTGAGATGATGAGTTTATTTGCAGGATGTTTCTGTTGGGTTTACTCTGATTACTCAGAGAGAGAAATCATTTCAATAGGCAGTAAGAGAGATGGAGCCTTCATGGAAGATTTATGGTAAGAGTTGCATCAGAGGCATGAATTGAAGAGGCACAATCATGTTTTCACTGTTCCTTTTTTTAAATAGAAAATGTGACACTGACTTGTCCCCGTTTAGGAGCTGTTCCATCTGAGCCGCCTGCAGCAAAGAGAGATGTTAAAAACATGCCAGGATGAGTTGAGTCATATTGATTAATAAACTCATCCAGAGCCTGCAGATAAAAGCAGAGGATTGGAGGGTTCAGATCTGACTGAGGTGGCGGACTCAGCTCCTCTCTGTCTCCTCCTCTGAGAGCCGGGGGGGTCAACTTCCCCGACATGAACCTCCTCCTCTAACTCGCTCAGCGTCAAGAGAGAGCCACCATGGAGCACATTTAATCCCCACTTATTGACTCAATACAATGACACAGGATTTCATGTTCCCTCACAATGCAGCCGTGAAGCTGTCGTTTCTTGAAGGCCTTAAAAACAGGCTGCAGTTTGTACAGCGACCGTGTGAACAAAGAGAGCGTGAAAAGGCTCAGAGGCTCTTCAACAACGACCTCACATGTTACTAAAGTTCACTGAGAACAGCTCTGTGTGTGAACACAAGAAGGAAGGTTTTTCTCATTTTGTAACAAATTCCTGCTCCAACAAATCTCATTCTGTTCTCTTTCTTCTTCAGTCTGACAAGAATAACATAAATCCTTGACTGATAAAAGTTTTTTTTTCGAAGGTGAAAGTCTCCAACGTAGTACAACACAGACCTCAAGTTTTGAATGTCGATTTATGGTTCCTGCAACTGACAACAACTTAAAACATCTACGAAGGAGGAGGGTTATTTAGAGAGAAATATTGTGTTGAAGCTCCTTCTTAATTTACCTTTATGAAGCCCAATCCAGCCGAATCATCAGACCTGAAGAAGAGGTGAACAAACGTCTGAGAGCGAGTTCTGCAGGACGCACGGCGTGCTCTGAGCATGTGAGGGTATAAGGACACTCTGGCTGTTTTCTAAAGTGCCTACATGTGACAGTAGTCTGACCTCTGACCTCCAGTCGGTGGTTACTCTGCAGTACACCAGGCCTGGCTAACTGGTTTCCGGTCTTGGAATGAGGAAGTAAACAACAGCCCAGCTGACATCAGACGCCGCTCCAGCGTAGCGAGAGAGATTCATTTAGAGCTTCATGATTTAGAGAATCAACAAAGAGAACTGGTGGTGTCTCTGAGTGTTTTAGTCTGATTGAGATTATTTCCTCTCATAAGATGGACGCTGCTGTCTGTTGTTTTGACCTCTGACCTGCTGCTTTGCATTGTGGGAAACAGGACGTGAGGGACTGTAGACTTTAACACAATCAGTACTCGATCAGACAATCTCAAATCTTCTGAAGTGATTCTGCTCTCTTTGTTGATAGCGTGAAAATGTTGAACTACACGTAGCGGCAGAAACTGTCCCCACGTCATGTGGCCCCTCCCCTCCCACAGGGACCGTCCCCGCCATGAGGTGTGTGAACCTCTCCGGGGAGGGGAGACCATGACAAAGCCAGGGTCCACAATGCATTCTGGGAAGTTTTGAAAGGACAGGATCAGGTCAGTGTGAGCACCTTTATGCACCTGCTCCATTTGGACTTGTCAGACTTTGCTATCTCTTCTTTCAGCCTCCAATCTGTTGCCTGCAGACCTCTACTGCTTATCACTGCGTCCTAAACCCCCAACCTAACCCCCCCACCCCCCCTCTCTCCCCCACAATACACACACACACACACTCAAATATATCATATTAAGTTATAAAACAATACCTGAGAAGAATTACATAGTGGCATAATCCCAAAAGTGCATGATTGAAAAAGGATTAGCAGGGAGGAGGGGGAGGAGGGGGGGAGTGTGTGCTTGTGTGTGTGTGTGTGTGTCTGTGTGTGTGGGGGGGGGCAGAGTTTGGTGGATTTGTAGTGCGAGCTGGCTGCCTCGGCCTGATTGTGAATCGGGTTCATCCCGTTCAGATTTACGTGCCCCAGCCAGTGATTTGGGATTTACTTTCTTACCAGGCGGTGTGCAGGTGTGTGTGTGTGTGTGTGTGTGTGTTTGTTTGTGTGTGTGTCTGTGTCTGTCAGTCATGAAGTCACGACTCGTTGCGTTCGGCTGGATGACCGTGTGAGAGGTTGACGGCTCAGAGGACGTTTTCATTGAAAGAAGAGTTCCGTTTTGTCAGCGCTGAGAAAAGCCCAGAGAGCGGGCCGTGTTAGCGCTCCTGTTGCTAATGCTAATGATGATAAATGACGAGACCTGCAGGCTCCGGAGAAATGATGTCCGCCTCTCAGGGGGGGTTCAAGCACCAAATTAGCTTCAGTCAATAGCATGTTCCCAAAGTGTCCTCACAGGATGTGCTGACAGGAGTATTGGTTACAGTAAGCGACGGGCGGAATTGAATCTTATTGGCTTGTTCACGGTGTCATTAGCATACGAGGATGAATGAGCGGCCATGATTAGATCCTGTGTGCCGGGCAGAGATCGAAAAATGAGCTCCAGAGAAAAGCACTGAATTATTTCTCCCCTGGATCTGGATTTCTGAGAGAAGTTTAACACAAGACAGAGTTTCACGGTCCGAACAGGAAGTGGTTTCTGTAGGAATTTAAAACAGGCTTCAAAGATGACTGACAGTTATCTCTCTCTAAATCACATCATGCACATTCTTATTCCTCTGGTTGAAGTTTTGAATCCATATTTGATGTGTTTGGTCACAGAGGGGTCAATGTGATACAGAGGTGAAACACACAGATCCATCTGCAGCAGGTCAGCTGGTTTACTGTACATCTCTGCATTTCCTTCTGTTGTGATCGCCACAGACTGTTGTCGTTTTAAGGACAGCTGTTTTGTGTCTCAGGGATAAAGAGGAATTTAACATGTGGTGTGTGTTGTTCAGCCGTACAGTCGGCCAGTAGAAGCAGTGG